TACTATTTTATGACCTACTAAATTTAAGTGTTTTAGCCTGGGTCATCTAAGAGGAGTGGGATCAAGTGAAGGATGAATAACAGAAGTTTTTCACTGTTTAGCTTAATTAAAATAGTTTTTTTTATGAAAAATTTCTGTTAATTCTGGGTCTTTGATAAGGGTTGGGTAGTAAATCGACGTTTGAGGTCGTTAAACACTAATTAAATGCGGAGAAGGAGAACAAAATTGTTCTATTTGATCCAAGGATAGGATAGGATGATAATCAAAGATTTCAATATTTGGAAAATTAAAAATTTAGATATAGTTTAATTTAAAGATCCAAGGGAAGCCTTGATGATCTGTTATTTAAATGAAATTAATTTAAGTGAAAACAAGGATGAGCCCTGATAGTTTAAATTTAGAGCGTTAAGGTTAGGTGTTAGTTTTGATGATTGTTAGTTTTCGAAATTCGCTGTTCTGTTTTAGGTGATGAAGCTGGGATGATGAAATGATTTATATATACAATCAATTTATGATTTAAACTAACTAATTTTGTATTTTCATTATTAATAAATGTTTTTCAAGATGTTATACAATTTACAGTTGATTTAAGGAAAACGACAAGTGTTGTTTTTATCAGTCGTTATGATACATTTAATATGTTTAGCGCCATGAAAGGTTATTATAATCCATGAAAACAGTTTTCCATGCAGCATCCTTGACGAGGAGTCTTACTGCTAAAACCATAGCTTTTCAAATGCCATTCTCCCAGCGTTTTTTTTTTTCATTTTCGGAATATTAACTGCCCTCATAATTGCCGTTTAAACGTTCTCTTTTTCGATATTTTCAACCGAAATGAATTCGATATGTAAGGTATCGAATTCATTGCTTGCCGCAATTGTGATTAGGAGATTTCCTTGTGTTTGATTCATTTTGACAGTTATTTACCTCTGAATTAATCATCGAGAAACAGCCAGAGCTATAGCATCATATTTACTTCAGCTGCTACAGGTCATTTACGCTAGCTTGAGTAGCTTGCGGTAACATTCAATTCAGAAACTATTGTTGGGTTGTCATCTCATTACAAGCAAAACACAATTTGAATAGTTTTCTTGAAACTTACTTCCTAGAATTACAAGATAATGGATCTTACTGAACAAAATTAGCTGTTCTCTTTGTAGAGTCCAGGTCAAATTGTACATGAAAACTATAAACTTAAAAACTCGCTAGCCATAGAAATTATGTCCTGGGAAAAATATTTTGAACTTCAGTTTGCCCTTTAGTTTGAGTAAGAAACACTGATAGAAAAATTAGTACAATTTGCAGTTAATTGAAATTTTTTCAAAGCTTTGAGTTTTGTTTAAATTTGTGACAATTTGATCCTCTTGCCAGTCCGGCTGTTTGCTTTTAGAATTTGCATCACATGAAACACTGATTCAACCAATAAATTTAACTACATTTCGACTATGACAAAAAGTTTCCATGCAGCAGCCTAACGAGGAGTCTGACAGTGCACAAAAACTATTCAAATGTCTTTCTCCGAGTTTTCAATTTCATTTTGGAAACTCTGATTAACCTGAACATGAGGGTTTGCTCTTTCGATATAGATACTTTAAACATGTTGGCTGACTTTGCCGAATCTTTATTCCAAATTGACGAGTCTGTTTATCATTTCTTCATTGAAAAGTTTCTTATCTCCTTAGATGGGGTATCTTTTTTACCCGTTGAATGTGAGAAGAAGCAGGATAGTTATTTCGATTTTTTTAGTATTAACGTTAAGGAGAATGATACTGTTCATTAAGACCAATTTCTTTTTATAAAAAGCTATCAATGGTAGAGTACACCAAAACATCAATATATTTCAATACCGATAAAATCTAATTCTTTCAACCTCCAATCTTTTATTTTCAACCTAATGTATAGAATCAACTTTTTGATAGCCTCATTTTGACAGTTAGCTTTTAACATTATTTTTAACATCGTTGAAAATAATGAAATGTTCAGTTAACATCGTTGAAAATAATGAAATGTTCAGTTAACATCGTTGAAAATAATGAAATGTTCAGTTAACATCGTTGAAAATAATGAAATGTTCAGTTAACATCGTTGAAAATAATGAAATGTTCAGTTAACATCTTTGAAAATAATGAAATGTTCAGTTAACATCGTTGAAAATAATGAAATGTTCAGTTAACATCGTTGAAAATAATGAAATGTTCAGTTAACATCGTTGAAAATAATGAAATGTTCAGTTAACATCGTTGAAAATAATGAAATGTTCAGTTAACATCGTTGAAAATAATGAAATGTTCAGTTAACATCGTTGAAAATAATGAAATGTTCAGTTAACATCGTTGAAAATAATGAAATGTTCAGTTAACATCGTTGAAAATAATGAAATGTTCAGTTAAAATCGTTGAAAATAATGAAATGTTCCGTTAACATCGTTGAAAATAATGAAATGTTCAGTTAACATCGTTGAAAATAATGAAATGTTCAGTTAACATCGTTGAAAATAATGAAATGTTCAGTTAACATCGTTGAAAATAATGCAATGTTCAGTTAACATCGTTGAAATTGTTTTTGTGTTTTAGGACCATTTGATTTTTGCAGAGTCTTTAAATAGATGTTTACGCCAAAAAGAAATCAAACTATCTCCATAAAGATAAAAATAAGATTTTTAATGTTCCATTTTTAGCTTTTTAAGCGAAGTGAGTTTGACAGGTTTATCATCGAGTTTTTTTGGTAGCTGTTATTGTGGTTATGATCAGAAACTTGAACTGACAGTAGAGAAACTGCCAGAGGTTCAGTACCAAATCATATTTAGCTTAGCTGCAACAGATCAGTTACAAGTTATAGGCATTGTCTTCTTTTTTTTACTAAAAAATTTCGTTTGATGATTTTTTTCGCATTCAGGCCATGAGATCTTTTGCAAGTTTGGTTGCTCTCTCCGAGTAGGAAAAAACTTCGATTTAAAACTTGGTTATGAAACATTCAGACATATTTCTTTTCACAGGGATAAAATTAGATAAAAATATTGAAGAAGGAAATCCGAGCAATTTTTGCAAATGAAGAAACGTTTCATTTACATTAACATTTCTTGAAAACCGATTTCTGTTTTTTTGCTAAATCTAACAGTCATAAAGATGGTGCATGAATGAAATTTTGACATTGCAAAAATTGGGAGATATGAATCCTAACTAAATTTGGAAAGCTGATTACTATATTGGTTACTTTGAGGTCATATTTGAAAGTTTTTGTTTCAAACTTTTTTTCAAGCAAACTCAAGATAGGCTAAAAATTGTCAGTTCAAGATAAATGGATATCTGAATTGAATGTCAAATTTGATTGCTCCAAACAATAGAAAACTGATTTTTTTCTCTAGTTGAAAAGGTTTATTGTTGTAATTTATAGTCGCAACTTTGGAAGTCAAAATTTAATTTTTTTGATTTTTATGTTAATTAATAGTGGCAAAAAATAAAAAAACTCGAATCACATTTAGTTACAAGGTAAATGCCATCTGTTGCCACTTACGTTCTGCGTTTATATTGTCACAATTGTTCTAATATCTATGAATTTTGTTATATGTTTTTCCATCATTTTTTGTTTTGTGTTGATGTTTTGTTGATGCTCTGAATGCTTAATTCTAAATTTAGAAACGATGTGTAGGCTTTCGTTTGGCGGTCCTGTATTTGATCAGTAACTGTGTTAGTCAAAGTAAATGCACATGAAAAACACAGATATACTGGATCGTTTTTTTGCATCTGTCTTGCACTGTGTTGCTTTCGTTTGTAAGTGTTTGGATTTTGGACTTTCTAGAAGAAGTGGGATTGTCCATAATTTTTCTTTTTGTAATTGTGGTTCTTTAGGTATGTTTTGATAAATGTTATTTGTGTTTGAGCATTCTGTGGGTTTTTCTTCTGTTATTTCTTCTACTATTTTTTGTATTCTTTCCACTGTTGTATTATTGTATACAGTAACTTGTTATCCTGTATAATAATTCAAAAGAAATTGATCCTGGTATTGATATTGTGAGAATATATCGGTTGTTCATGTATAATAGGCTCATAGTCATTTTCAACGTTTATCATGTTAATTTAAACTGTGTTTTTTGTATCACTTTCGCTATCTGTGGATTCGCAATTGATGTGGTTTAACTGCAATTCTGTGCTTTTGTTATTGTCAATACCAGGGGGGTCTGGTTGAGTTTCCTCAGTTGATTGTACTTGATTCATTTGTCTTTGATGTTTAGGTGTACTACTCCTATAATTTGTTGTGAATTTTGATAATGTGTGTTATTCCAATGTGGTGATTGAGAGTAGTTTCATTGTATGTTGTTATAGCTTGAACTTCTGTTTCCGTTCGCAGTTTGACTGTAGAGCTACTTTGAATAGTGGGTCGAAATATGACATCTGGTTCGACCACTTTAGTTGAAACATAATGTCGAAACCTCCACGCGGCTAGTCATGCTGCCCAATTTAGTGCACGCAGGCGAAGCAAAGCTTCACACCGCTTGCGATAGATAAATTATGGACTCTTTTTACTTGCAGATGAACCAACAAATCAAACTAATGTGTTTTCTCGAAAAAAAAATTGCAAAAAATATCCAAAATCTGAACCATTTGATAAAAACTTATACATATCAGGACAAAATAACTTTAAAAAAAGTAAGAAAAATCTATCTACCAAACGTTTTCCCAAATTTCTCTTGATTTTGTCTTGAATAAAAACTTCTGTCGTAAAAATATGCCAAAGTAGGAAAATTGAACGTTAAATAAGAATCGAAACAAAACTTATAAGGCGGTAACAAAGCCGAAAACTCTTTAGTACGTTGCGCCGAAAAATAATTGTTTTTTATAGGAAATATTTTTACAAAGGTAGAGAGTACCAAAATTTCAGTCATCCTGTTAACAAAGTTATTTACGGGAAAAATTTTTATTACATGATTGCAATACCTTTGCTTGTCGTGAGGCTAACGGAGCATAAGCCTTTAATTTCAGCAACAGAAAAGTTCACTCTTCAAAATTTAAATTTTTTCTCGAGTAACTTTTATTAAGGTTTCTTTCAGATGCCAGAACAACAATTATTGAATAAATCGATAACAAAGTGGTTGCTTCTGTGTTTTCCCCGTTTTAATCAATAATTGGCCAAATTTCTTTCGGGGGAAATGTTGGTCTTTGATCTTCTTATCTTCAGATATCGGTTCAAAGCATCTGCCAATCGCTGTTCAGCAACCATGACCTCATTGTCGACCCATGGAACGGACCAATGAGAGTCGCCGTCAGCCAATGGGCTCATGTATGAGATGTCTGACATACTAGGTGAATTGTCTGAACTTCTTTTCCCAAAGCTCCCTGTAAATGAGCAAAAGTCTTGCATGTGGATTGCAAGAGCATAAAAGAGCCCATGAAAAAAAATAACGGAAATTTTGTATGATAAAAAAAAACAAAAAAATTGAACCGAAAAATCTTGTCCATCTCTTGGATTACAACAATATTATTTCACCTAGAAAAAAAAACACTTCGCAAAAAGTTAATGCGGTGAGTGAACATGTCCGTGTTTTTTTTTCTTCAAAACATCTAACAAGCAATTCGATAAATTTCGAATATAAAAATCAAGATTTGAATATTCTCGGTAGGAAATAATTAAAACTTTGTATGACAAGTTTCGATTATAAATCGGACCTCGAAAAAAATGCGAACGTTCGTTTATATGTTTTTTTTTTCTTCAAATGTTTGTAGCCAAACAAGGCACCCCAAAAAACTTCAGATGATGCCAATTGATGAATCATAATAAGACTTTTTCAGTCAGTCGATTGATGCTTTCTAAAATTGAAAAAAAAATTCCTTTTATTGAGAGAAAACGCTATGAGATTTTTATATTCAAAGCAAATTTAGAACGAAGGTTCCTTTTCATGCTGATTCACTTTAAGCTAGACTAGTGGACAAAAATTAACCGCTAAATTACCCGCACCGAGCTCCCATGGATCCTAATCGATTATATTGTCATTATATAGACAGTGTCTATGAAATTACAAAATAATCGATTACAATCCATTAAAAATCGATTATAATGACACTTTTTTTCGAAACAATAAAATCCATTATAGTCGATTATAATCGATTATTATTCCTTTTTTGTGTTTATTCCACAACATTTGAGTTTGAGTTATGATACATTATAATCGATTAAAATCCTTAGACGCTCGGCAGCCATCACTTAGATTTTTATCTGGTTTTACAATGTTATTTGGTTGTTATAGTTCGGATTGCCTTTTTTCACAATATTTCATGTAAAATAGTTTTTTGTTCTCAAAAAAGTAGATTTTTACGAACCATTTTAAATAGCTATAAAAATTTGTTCACAATGCAAACCGAAGTCTTAGTTCATTCTCAGATAGTTGTTATGTTTTTTCTCACATGTATTGTAAATACGATACAAAGAAGTGAAAAAAGTCTCAAGTGATAGATCATAAAGAAGTTTTTCATTTCTTCTATAGCATTTAGTACAGCAAAAAAAAAACAAGAAAGATATCAATTTTAATGGTCATTCATAAGCAAAACTTTATTAAATCTCGGCAAAATTAAAAGTATGATAGCAGGGGCGGATTTAGGGGGGGCAGGGGGCGGACGCCCCCCCCCACTCAGGGATTCGACCCCCTGCCGACCCAAAGGGTCCCCTCTTTTGGTACTTTTTAAGATATCCATTTTTTGCCGACCGACCATAAAATTTTTCTAAAGGCGCCTTGGGCGCCAATATATACTAATTTTGAGGGGGAGCGCGCGTCGAAAAACGCGATTTTTTGGTCAACATTTTCCAAAAAGTGCCTAAAAACGCCTTTTTGGCATGTTTTTTCAAAATTTTGCCTGCGGCGCAGAAAGTTCGGCCAAAACAGGGTTTAAACAGTTCTTAGGGAGAGCTCGAAAAATCAATTCGGTTGACCTAAAAAAAAGGTCGACAATTTTTTTTCGAATTTTTTTTTGAAAATTCGTCCACCCTCGAAAAAAATCCTAAATCCGCCCCTAATTTAATCCATTCATTCAATGGGCTGTATTAGATTCTTATTGATTATAATTTTTTTTGTGAATAACAGGTTAGATTTCCCAAAACCTTGAAAGTAAATAATCAAAACTTGAAGATTGCAATTGCTAAATTGTGCTTTGCATTTGGATGCAGTAAAAATATGCATAGTCTTCTTTTTGTCTTTATTTTTCAAAATTGTCTCCCATTCCCCTAAATATTTAAACTAACACCTTCCATCATTGTAACTTCCTTCTTTCACCACCACCTCCCCTCCGCCACCACTTACTCTGTACTTTTACTGTTATAAGTGTAAAAAATGTGTCACTCCCCCCTCCCCCCACAGACCTCAGTATTAACCCTTCCAGGCCTTTAATTTGGGTGGGGTGTCAAGTAGTAGAAGAGGGGGGAGGGTAGGTATGTTGGGGTAGTTAAGGCACTGGGGTGGATGGAGTGGGGTAAGTTGGACGTGGGGGGATAGGTGGAGGCGGGGTAGGTTTGTGGATAAATTTGTAAATAATGTGTGGGTGTAAGTTTGAGCGTGTTTAACTTTGGGCTCCAAACTTGAGAAGACGTGGGTTTGAAGTGTGAAGTGCGAAGGATATGATTTCGCAAAGTTTCAAGGAATGCGAGTAGGTTTAGAAATCGAGTAGGGTGTGCGTATGCAGAAAAAACTGTAAATTTTGCAAAAAAAAAAAGAAATTTATAGAGATTATAATCCATTTTAATGAATTTTAAATGGATTATAATCGATTTAAGCATAGTGTATTATAATGGATTATAATCGGTTGCGTGGTCCCAAAGCGTAATTATAATCGATTATAGTGACAAAATTTATGACCACGAAAATAGATTATAACCGATTCTTATCCATAGAACCTCGCTGCGGAATAAAGTTCGTGTATTTGGGAAACTAAGCATCATAGAGAGTAAGAACCTAACTGAGCGGTGAAAACTGATAAAAGCAGGAGATGCAACCACAAATCTGATGGATCATCATAGTTTTAATTTCGCCGAGTTTGCAGAGTTTGCGTGAGAAACCATTGCTTAATAATAATAGAAAAAATTTCAACAATAAATTTGAAATGAAACTACCGCAACCAATTATAGAAATCCCCAACTTAAGTGTACCATTAATTGCCATAAATTTTCCTCATTTTTGATGTCAAATTAAACTAAGCTTATTTTCTCAGAACAATTGCCTAATTATTTTCCAACGCATTGAAAGAACTTTTGAATCAAAGGAGAAGTTGCATAGAGCATTTTCAATTTGGGTTCAAATGATCTCTATATCAGTCGCAAAATCTGTGGGTTCAATTATCAAGTACATTTTGAGAAAATAATCGTTCACTGTATACAGTAAATTTTCTTGAAGACATGAAATTTTTCTCAGTGAGCAAAAGCAAAAAACGCATTGTTTTCCGTTTTGAATACTTCTCCCCGAAGTGCTCAATAATTAATCTGACATCCTTCTAAAATTGTCTGTTTCTAACCATTCAAGCCAATTTAAACACCTACTGCTACAGGGTTTTAGAACTTGAAACCCAACAAAATGGTGTTCCTGCAGCCAATATTTTCATCGAATGTAGCTCTAGACATATTTGCTTTAGGTCCATGTAATAAAACTTTTGGATTCTGATGAAAAGTAAAATGCTAAACTTGCTTATTAATTTTGTTCATTAGTGTATATATGTGCTAAAAGCCCATTTAGATAAATGATTTATTTGGTGAGAAAAAATTAATGTAAGATAATCTTAAAGGGAGATGTTGGTAAGGATGATGCCTACTAAGAATTGATTGGTAGACTGTCTGTCTGTTGATACAATACAACTGTGATCAATATGACTTACCAAGAGTGTGTGCCCCTCCAAGCTGATAAGAAGATACTTCAGTCGTGTTGATACAAGACAGTATGAAAAACAGCAACACCGACACTCTCAAAACATTCGGCAGCAAGCTGCAACTCTGGCGTGAATACCTCGTGATGTTTAAGTTGTTCATGTTGTAAAAATTTTGGTTGATCTTTTTTTTAGTACCACGAGCTTTGTGTGCTTTTTCAATTTCTAAATCTTCAAGTTTTGTAGTTGCAAGATTTTCAGCGAAGTTAAAATTGATATAAATGGGAAAATTGTCTTGATTTGTAGATCGATTGAGCTCCACCTTCTAAAACACAGAGAGTTCCGAAAGGGGAGCTGTAAAAAAGTTAACTAGCAGTAAAGGGTCTTTAACATTTTATTAGCTACAGCTGAGTCAGACCTGCAAAACGGTCCAAATAGTATGTAAAGGCTCTTATCTCGTATGTTGGTCGATTTTATTTTTAGGGCTTGCAATTTTCAGACTTTAGGGCAAATTAGCCCTAACTTACAATTCAAGTTGCAGTTTAAATTGAGCCACCTTGTTTTTTAATCAATTTGACTGCCCCTAATTCAACGTGGGAGTTGTAAAATTGCTTCGGCTGAAATACTATTTTAAAATTTTGACAAGTGACCAAATTAGCTCGTTCATTTCTTACTTTAACCTAAACGAGCCACCCCATAACTGATTTCAGAAGTCAGCTCAAACAACTGAAGCATTTTTCAGCTTAATTGACAACCCACTCATTGCCAAAAAATTCATTATTTAATACGTCACTAAGCATCCGTTTAATGACAATAAACTGAAGCGAAACGATAAAAGTATGTCTTCACAATAGATTGGCCGTTAGCTGGGGCAAAAAACAGAATGCTATGCCCTCACATGATTAATCATTGCAAAACGGCATTCATTTTGAACTTTTTGGAAGTATTCGTTATTTTTGCGTCGGTTGGATGAAATCGAATTAAAAAATAACTAGTTAAATGACGTTATAGAACAATGAAATTTTATTTTTTAATTGTTCCGACTTTCGAAAAAAATACGGATGATTTATGCTGGGAAAAGATTTCTGGACATTGAGACGATTTTTGCAGAGACGGCTTTGCAGATTTCGCAATACCAGACTTTGAGTAGGAAAACATCTGATTTCGAAACTTCTACTCGTTCTGCAATAAAGAGGAAGTTGAGATTCGTTAAAAATTTGTCAAGTGTTTCGGATTAATTTAACAACAGCTTCCCAAACATATTTATCTAAAAGCTGTTAGGTTGCTTCTTAAATAGATTTTGAAACCTATCACCAATTAGCAACCTGAAGATTCGCAGCTGAGAGTTGATACTACAAAAACCATTTTAAAGTTCTTGAGTTCAAGAAATCGTTTTTTTTTCAGCTAATTTTAATGTCTTCACCAGCCAGTTTTAAATAGAGTGTGAACCATTTTAAAACCATTTTCAAGTATTTACCCTTGAACTCAATTTCAAATTTAGTTTTCGTAAAGTTATGGAGGTTTAGAGATTGTCAATTTGGTCAATTTGGAATAAATCATGCGCTATATTTTTCGTGCTAATAATCGGTCTCAGAAATCATTCCAAATTAAATGGAAGTAACCTAGTTAGTCTAATTAAGACCTTGCTAGGTGCAAAAACTATAATATTTTGTACTGTGGGAGGATGATTTTTAAAAAAAATCTCAATTTTCTCATTTTTTGAAAATTTCATTGCCTTTTAAGCGAACCCTACTTGATTGACCTGATCAGACATTCAAAATTTTCAGGGTTTAGTCTTGATACAAACAGTCTTGTTCGAACATATATAGGAATTTGATTAGGGCCAATTTGGCCAACTTGGGACAAATAACGCGAGTAAAATTTCTCAAACATTTTTTATGGAAAAGTCTACAACAACAAACCACTGGCACTTCAAGGCGAAAAGAGTTATTGGTTTTTCAACCGAATAATATATTTTTTGCTACGATTAGGAGAGTTGGGTCACTTGCAGTAGTCGTTTTTTCTAAAAGCTGATTCGGAACTCTATTCGGGTTGCTGAATTAATCGAGTTTTTGTTGCTTGCATCATAAAGTGTTGCGTGCTGCATTTTTTTGCGTCATTAATTAAGCGTTTTTTTTGGCAATTCATTCTGAGTTGTTTTCTTTCTGATGTACAGAAACCATTAATGCGTTACTTGAGGAAAACATATCACTCTTAAACTTACATGGGGATGTAAAAGGGAATTTTCAAAAGCATGAAAAAACGGTGATATAATACAATAGTTGGAAAGTTCATTTTGAATCGCTGGATCAATTCTTGTTATACTTAGCACATTATTCATAATTTGTTTCAAAAGTCAAAATTTTTGGCAAAAGAAGTGTAAATTTTGAGTTTTTGAATAGAACCTCATCTGGCAGATTAATGTAGTTACAAAAACTATCTTAGTTGTAGTATACTTGATTGAAAATGAAATGACTATATTATGCATAATAGTTCTCAAACTTATGCACAACACATCACCGAAAAACAGCATGAAAAAAGTCAGTTTTTTTATTATGAATCCATTATTTTTCTAATTCTATTCAAGAAAATATCAACCGTTTTTCAATAGAGGGTGAAGAAACGCGTGAGGCGATTGTTCGTTGTTCGCAAGAATAAGTCGCAGGTGACAACTTGTAGCATTTCAAGAAGCAACAATTCATCGCAGCGAGCAATTTGCCAAATTGGTTATTTAAGTTAATCTAAATAATGCAAAAGAGAAACTATACCCGTTTAGAAACTATGCCATGCCTGTTTAGGCGTCAGTTTTGGACTTGTTTGTTTTGTGGATTTACTAATCCAATAATTTTTTCTATCAATTTTTACTTTTACTTGCCGCTTGCAGCCAAATGTCACCTGCGACGAATTGCCGCCTTGCCTTTAAAGAGATTCGAACATTCAGAGAATCACCTTGATACGCCCGGGTTGGTCAAAACTTTTTAACATACAATTTCCATACATGAAAAACTTCTTGCCATACAATTTCATGCAATTCCACAGGTACAGAAATTTGTGTGAAAACTCTCTGATAATTTTTTTTCATAAATGAAAACTGTATGACAAGTTTTTTTCCATAAACCAAAAAGTAGATTTTTTTCTAAATTTAATTTCCGAATGGTTTTGGATTGTGTTCGTAACCGAACGCAAGTTACAAAGATCTTGGTTTATTCAAAGCACCAAAAATTGACGGCCCTGCATTTAAATTTCATAGAAATTGGCGAGAAGTGTCTTAGAATTGTCTTTCACAAATTGTATAACGGAAGTAACAAACTTTATAAGTTTTGCAAAAGTTTTCAACAATGATTATTTTTAAAATTTGAATTATTAACTTATCAGACATTGATCAAAGTATACATAAACATGCCATACAAAGAAAATAGGAGTTATTAGCGTTTTTTTAATTCAAAATCATTAAGCAAAAAAAAACAACATTCGGGTATCCAGGACTACGTTATGCACACAAAAAAAACAGTATTTTTGGAAAATATTTGTGTAAACATCGACTTGCGGTTGAAAAAACCAAAAACATTTTTTTTGCATCAAAAAACTGCTTGTCATACAATTTCTAAATTTGGGAATTGTATAATAAGCATTTTTTTCAAAAAATAAAATTTCGTTTTTTTTTCACCAAACTGTTTTATTAGAATCAAATAGCCGCAGAATTTACTTTATGTCTTTTTTCAATCATTTTTGGAAATTGTATGGAAATTGCATGTCAAACATTTTGGTACACATGATGTATGGAATTGTATAATAAAAATTTTTAGTGTATGGAGGTCAACCGGGGCGTGCAGTCTTGTTGTAAGCTGTATCGACATGTGGGCTTTCCCGCGTTGATTCCAAACTTGAAAAAGCTTGTCATAGAAATTTCATACAAGAAAATTGCTTATTATACAATTTCATATCGGAAGTGTATATTAAAAATAACTAGTCTAACAATTTTCATAAAATTTTTTTAGATTTTTTTTAAATTCCAAAACTCGCGGTCAAAAATAGTCACACAAAAAATTCAGGAAAACTTTTAAAACTGAAAACCACTTTTATGCGGAACAAAAGTTTTTAGTAAAAAGTTTTGCTTGCAAAAAAAGCTGCATTTTCATCTATAAAGTAGACCATTTAGAAATTGGCATAGAAAAGCATTAAAAAATCTGATTTTTTTGAGTGAACCAGTATTTATGATTTCCATATGTTCAATGAAAAGATAAACGGTAATATTACAAGATAAACAGGCCACAAATTTCATCATTAAATTTTTTAAGTAAAATTTTTCTGCCCATTTACAAAAAATACGCTTTTTAGTAATAATTCGGATTAAAATTTATAACCTTAAAATCATCCCCAAACGCAATTTATCTGTGAGATTACTTCAAAGCCGTTATGGTTTTTCTTTCAAGAAAAAATTGATCAATGAACCATTTTTTTATTCGTAACTTCATTGCACAATTTGAGGCCAAAACTAGTGAAATATTAATATACACTAATTTTCCGTATATCTATGGAGTTTGAAAATTGCAAAAGTATCGATCCATCCCTATTTTGTTAAAGTTTTCAACTCACAAGTTCGCAGCTGACGATTTAGTCCAGCTCAAAAATTCTTCAAGATTTAGTTGGTGCAGATTTATTAGTCCAAATAAACAGTTTCTTAATGCTTGTTCTATCGATTAACCCTCCAACTGTAAGATTGTTATGAAAAACTGTAAGGTTTTCTTTTCAAATTGTTATGAAATTGCGAAAAGTTAAAATGCAACTGTAAGATTCAATGCTTCGCCCAACAAATAATAACTTTAATATTTTTGTATAATTGAGTGATCTGGTTTCAAAAACCGAAAGTAATGAAAAAAATCGAATGAGAAATCGAGTTCAATTGAAGGCATTGTCTTAAACTTCAAGCAGGAATAAGATCAATGCCTGGCGTCATTATATCACAAAGCCTCTTGAAACTAAAATTTTGCCCTCATTTTTGTCCTGCCATTAGCGAAGGGAGAGCTAATAGCCTGCTTAATTGACGCCAAATTTTAAAAATTTTCTAGAGAATTAAATCTTTGATAGTTAGTTTTGTATGTCCGTTTAAACGACGTTTGTGTAGGTGCAGACATATATGGAAATCGGAAACTAAAATTTTGCCCTCATTTTTGTCCTGCCATTAGCGAAGGGAGAGCTAATAGCCTGCTTAATTGACGCCAAATTTTAAAAATTTTCTAGAGAATTAAATCTTTGATAGTTAGTTTTGTATGTCCGTTTAAACGACGTTTGTGTAGGTGCAGACATATATGGAAATCGGAATCA